CCCCAAAACCCCAAAACCCCAAAACCCCAAAACCCCAATATATAACTTTACTGCGGAAGTATTATTAGATAATAATTAACCAAAATGGTCGAGTGGTGGAGATTGCTCATGATATTCGTCCTGGTCTGTATGTCAGCCCTTTTCTCAGGGCTCACTCTTGGACTAATGGGACTGGATACAAGAAATTTAGAGTTATTAACAATGGGTCCTTTTGAGGACAAAGAGGCAGAAAAACAAGCTAAATATGCAAAGAAAATATTACCTCTCAGGAGATCTGGAAACTTGCTCCTGTGCACATTATTGCTGGGAAATGTTGCTGTAAATGCTCTCTTGTCTATTTTCCTAGCTGATTTGACATCTGGAATGGTTGGATTCTTTGCAAGTACGACGCTGATTGTTATTTTCGGTGAAATTACTCCACAATCAATCTGTTCAAGATATGGGTTGGCTATAGGAGCATATACAGTCTACGTTGTGAGAGTGTTTATCGTCCTCCTCTACGTCATCGCTAAGCCTATAGCCATTATTCTTGATTGCATCTTGGGAGAAGAACTTGGAAATATTTTGTCCAAGAACCAAATGAAGAAACTTTTTGAAATGTATGAAAACGATAAGCTCTTAGATCCTGATGAAAGGAAACTTATGGTTGCCGCACTCGAGATTCAGGATAAGAAAGCGAAGACTATTATGACGCCTATGGATAAGATATATATGCTTGATATTAATACGAGGCTCACTGAAGATAAAATTCATGAAATATACTTGCAAGGATTCAGCAGAATCCCTATTTTTGATGGCAAACGAGATAATGTAGTTGGAATTTTGTTAGTCAGAGATTTGCTTGTGATCAACCATTCTAAAGAAGCGGTTGTTCTCAAGCAGCTTGGAAGCCTCATCATCAGAGATTTGATCGTAGTGGATGCAGAGTCAAGACTTGCACCTATCCTGAAAGAATTTAAGAAGGGAACTTCTCATATGTGCTTGGTCAGGAGCATTGTTAATACCGGTGAAGCCGACCCTTACTACAGAAATCTGGGCATAATCAGCTTGGAAGACATTATAGAAGAGATCCTCCAAGATGACATTGAAGATGAGATCGACCAGGAGAAGCAATCATTTAAGAAAGGAGACGGTATGGCAAAGCAGAAATTACTTGACTTGTTCAGCAAGAAACAGTGTTCGAAAGTTTTGTCCGATAATGAGAGAAACGCAGTCTGTAGCTACCTTCAAAAGTACGAGGAGCCATTTAAGAGGACAGCTATTAGCTCCTCATCTTTAGAGGAGCTTGTTGCTTATAGCCAGGTTGTCAATATTCATTCAAATACTCAAAATTATGATGACTCAGAATCTGATGAAGAAGATAAGCGCGTTATTGAGATTAAAGATAATCGAAAACTTGTAGATAAGAATAACCCAGATGGTGGCGACAGTAATGCTGATCAAAATGACATCGAGAAGCAGGATACAGACGACATTACAATAATTAAAGCATCAAGGATTAAGTCTCAGTTTGGTAAAAGACGGGGGATTTCAGAAGTTATAAAGCCAAGTGATGTTACCCTAAAGTTTAGTAATGTTCATAAGACTAAAACACCACTCCCTGGGCGTGACCATTCTATTCCTGAAGCTTCAGAGGAGAGTAATTACTTTGAGCATTCAGAGTCCGAGGTCAGTAAATCTATCGATCATAATAACACGAATGCTGGACTTGCAGACGCAAAATATAGTGGAGATTCAAGTGAAGCTTCATATAGCGATTCGAGAGATGGCTCTGCTTATAATTCTGAGGATGGTTCTGGAATGAATAGAAACTCATATAGATCATCAATCCATGATAATATCAGAATGGAGGACATTAATCCAGTCCTATTTGTCAGAAATGCCCCGTCTCAGGACTTCTACCTCATCTTGAGAGGAAAAGTTGAGATTATTAGTGGGAAAGATGGATTCAGAGTTGAAATAGGTTCATTTACTAGTATTGGGTCAAATGCCTTGCTTGAAGAAGACTATAAGCCTGATTTCACAGCTAAAGTACTAGGAGAGGCGAAGTTGTTAAAAATTACAAGATCTTCATATGTTGAGTACCTTAGATAGCAGCTCCAAATATCCTAAATTCTGTAAAATTAATCTTTACTCACCACAATTTTTCATCCTTATTTTCATTACTTTCAATTTTAGAAATTTAAGGTGGGGTTTTGGGGTTTTGGGGTTTTGGGGTTTTGGGG